TTTAATGGAATGTTGTGCATCAATTACTATTTGAAACTGAGTCTGGTGGATAAACAAATATACTTAGAAAAGACCTTTTAACAAGCAATACTCCTGGGGAAATTCTGTGCCACTGCACAATGCAGAATTTTGCAGAAATTAATGTTGTGTACACAGAATTTCCTTTCCCCCCACAGAAACTCGCTGCAGTGCTGCTGGCCACCACTAGGGGCCACTGGACCCAGCAGAGCCCAGGTTGCACATAGAAGACACTACTGGGGGAGGGGGAGGGAGCTAGAGGGTTCTCAGCAGCGGCAGTTCCCAGCACGCCCTGAAGGAAGGAGACAGCATGCAGGAAACTCCATGCAAGCCTGGGACCCGAAATCAGGCTGTTTCTCCCTTCCTGGGCTCTGAGGGGTAGGGGGCAAGTGTCTGGGTTGGGGGGCATGGCTGGGCTTTGGTGGGTAGGGAGTGAGAGTATCTGGGCAAGGAGGGGCATGGCTGAGCTCTGGGTGTGTGTGTTGGTGTCTGGCCGGGGGGGCCCTGCAGCTGGGCTGTGGGGGGAAAGGGGTGTGGATATCTGGGCTGGGGGGGAGGGGTTGTGGGTGTCTGGCTCCCTGCTGGGGTCGGGGGAAGGAGGAGGAGAAGGAGGCAGAGAAACAGGAACTGGGTTGTCAAAGGGGTTTAACTCTCTACTCCTGGGGGAATTTTTTGTGTGTGTCTGTACTGTTACAGACGTACTTGCTGATAGGTATATTGAAATAAACTTCCAAATTAATTGAAATGGGCATGATTATGCAGTGTTATTTTGACAAAATTTGCAGAATTTTAAAATGTGCACAGAATTTTTAATTTTTGGTGCAGAATTCCCGCACCAAAGCAAGAGATTTTATAAACCAAATAAGTTTTGAAGTCCCCAAAATTAGGATCCAGACAGAATTTCTTTTAAAGCAATCCTCCCAGCCTCAATCATTTTGAAATGGCCAAGAAAATAGCAGCAGCTGCTTATTTTACACCCAAAGGGGTTTAATATTGCACTCTGATGCTTATAGACTTTATTTCATGTTCAGTAGGGCCACCCAAATGATGATTCTGAAAAAAATCAACTTCTAACAATTGGCAAAACTTAATCACAAATGGAAATATTCAGTTTGCCAAATAAAAGATTGATTGATATGAAAAAGGACTTACATTTAGTATTATAGAAATGTTTGTTAAAGATCATTATGATTTTAAAGTGTAACAATTCAATGTTATTTTTTTTAAAAAATACTCCATTCAGACATCCACACTCTTTTCAGCCTTCAATTTCAAATATCTGAACTTCCCTGTATCTTTAATAATTTTGGTTGTAATTATGTTTCAAAACTATTACTTGACTTTAATTATATTGTAGTTTGTAAAAATTACTGATTTCCTCTTCCTTCCTCCCCCACATTTTCCTAATCTGAGTCAATGCCTGTCTGCTGTGCGTAAAGAAGGAACAACTTTAGAAAACTGTGTCTTAAAATCCTCCTTTTTACATACTTCGTGGTAAAAGTTGTTTAAATTATGGGAAACAATGTTTTTTCATTAACTTGCAATGTTTTATTAACTGAAACTTTTGAAAGTACTTGGGACTTTATTTCACTGTTTCCTTATACTTCTTTTAAACAATTTTGTCATCTAACAAATATATTCTTATGTTGCATGTTTTCCTTCTTACAAGGTGATATTTTCTAATCTTAGAAAAACTTGCCAGAGTGTGTATTATGACAAACAAGGCCAAACCCAACAAAATGTAACTTTTGTTAGACAATAGTTTGCTAGAAGCTGGGAATGGGTGATAGGGGATAACTCGATGATCACCAGTTCTGTTCATTCCTTCTGAAACACCTGGTATTGGCCACTGTCAGAAGACAGGATACTGGGCTAGATGGACCTTGGTCTGACCCAGTATGAGCATTCTTATGTTCTTAATCCATGCTGTTTTTTGTTTTGTTTTTTTACTAAGTTAAAATTGATTATAGTTCAGCAAACTTTCATTTATATTGTAAAGTCTTCTCATAAAAATGAAAACTTTGTTTGAAAAAAAAAACTTTTGATGAATTAAAAACCTCATACTTAAAAAAAAAGTCCAATACTTTCATTGTACCATAACTTTAATTATAAGTAAGATTTCATTTGAACAATACTTGACCTATCCTGCACTCAGACTGAAGTTATGGGACTCCATTTAGGTGTAAAGGTTCCACCCATCTGGATTTGATGGCAGGATTGGGCCTTAGGAAAGCCTTCTACTGTTGCAGCATAACTAAAATATGGAAGATGAGACAGAACTGGGCCTAGACAAAGCAATTGTTTCATAAGTAAAGTGGAAAGTCACAGGCTATAGGTGGTAGACATGGCACGGCACAGTCACAGATTCTAAAGCAAAATCACAGCATGGGAAGTACTTTGTTCTGTTTTTATCTTTACCAAATTCCACCTAATTTGTTTCAGAGTAGCAGCTGTGTTAGTCTGTATCCGTAAAAAGAACAGGAGTACTTGTGGCACCTTAGAGACTAACAAATTTATTAGAGCATAAGCTTTCATGGACTACAGCCCACTTCTTCGGATGCATCC